AACCTGGTATACAGGTTGAAGAAGAGCTTGTATGGTTTAAAACAAGCTCCTAGACAATGGTATAAGAAGTTCGATAGTTTCTTGAGTAGCAGTGGTTTTACCAGATGCCAAACAGATTATTGTTGCTATATCAAGAGGTTCGACAACAGCTTCATTATTTTATTGTTGTACGTTGATGACATTCTCGTTGCAGGCTCAGACATGCAAGAGATTATAAACTTGAAGCAAAAATTATCGAAGCAGTTTGCAATGAAAGATCTGGGCGTTGCAAAGCAGATTCTTGGGATGAGGATCAAGAGAAACACAAAGTCGGGGACTTTGATGTTATCACAGACTGAGTACATCAACAAAGTACTCTCCAGGTTCAACATGCAAGATGCTAAACCAGTAAGTACACCTTTAGGTGTTCATTTTAGACTCTTCAAAGAACAGTCACCAAAGACGGAGGAAGAACGTGCACACATGGTGAAGGTGTCGTATGCCTCAGCAATTGGAAGTCTAATGTATGCCATAGTTTCTACCAGACCAGATATTGCTCATGCAGTGGGAGCTGTTAGCAGGTACATGAATAATCCGGGCAAGGTACACTGGGAAGTCAAATGGATCCTCAAATATCTGCGGGGTACTACAAACAAAACATTTTGTTTCACAGGTGGAGATACGATACTGACAGGCTATGTAGATGCTGACTTAGCCGAAAATGTTGACATCAGAAAAGAGCACTACAGGGTATGTCTATACTCTAGGAGGTACTGCAGTGAGTTGGGTTTCTCAACTACAGAAGATAGTTGCTCTCTCCACAACTGAAGCAGAATATGTCGCTGTTACGGAAGCCAGCAAGGAGATGGCCTGGCTCCAAAGTTTCTTGGAAGAGTTAGGCAAGAAACAAGAAAACAATGTCTTGTATTGCGACAATCAAAGTGCTATCCATCTAGCAAAGAATCCGTCTTTTCATTCCAGGACGAAGCACATACAATTGCGATATCATTTTATTCGATCTCTTCTGGAAGATGGGATTTTGAAACTTGAAAAGATTAGCGGAGCTCAAAATCCAGCAGACATGTTGACAAAGACGGTGACCACAGACAAACTGAAGTTGTGTTCAGCTTCAGTTGGCATGCAAGAATAACAAGACTATAAATGCTGCTGCATCGATCGAGGTGTGAAGACAGATTAAAATCAGTCTTCAAGTAGGAGATTGTTAAAAGTCCAAAGGTTGTCAACCAACTTTGAAAATGGTTTTCAAAGTTTGGTAAATGTTTCTTTGAAAATGGTTTTCAAAGTTTGGTAAATGTTTTTCAAAGTTTGGTAAAGTTTGGTAGATGTTTGTTGAAAATAGGAATGGGTAAATTCACTTTAGTCATTGCACTCTAGGGTATTTGAAAGATTAGTCCCTAAGTTTCAACTATAAATATCCTAGCTCATTTAGCTTCAAAATCATCCAAAAATCCAAAAATCCCAAAAATCATTTCTTTCTCCCAATACTAGAGAGCTTTCTTGTGAGTAGTGAGTGTTTTGTAAACACCTGTAAATTTTTTCTCTTAGTAAAAGATCTACAGCAGTCCGGAGACGTAAGCAAATTGGCTGAACTCCGTTATCAATTTCGGATATTATTTTTCCGCTTTTATTTCGCATTCTCACTAATCTGATTATAAGGAAATTATTCGTACTCGGTTTATTTCCTAACAAAACACAGCAAGTATAATATTGGAAAAATGAGGGCCTCATAGCTTATGGCCTGATATATCATGCAAATGCTGCCAAAATGTGAGATTCTGATATGACTAAACAGTGCAGCTGAGATATATATCTGCCTATATGCTTCAAAAGAAAGCTTTCTCAGAATACCATTAATTAATCAAGATTTTCTCCTGATTATTATCCATTTTAATAACAGAGTACAGCTGGTTTAATACACATATATTTATATGTATCAAACTGATCCTGATTATTAATTAATTAATGAAAAAGTGTAATATAAAGTAATTGCAGAAACCAAAAGAAGGAAGAAAAGTGATGGCTACAGGGAGCCGAGAACCATCTTAGAGTAGTACTAGAATGCATAGAGTGGGGTACATTTGAATGAGAATCGAAGGGTTTAAATAGATGTGTTGCGAGTTGTCCAATTAGACAGCACAGAAATGAACCATCAATTATGTTAAAAAGGTTCCCAAAAGGGATCCGAAGGGGAAAGCACACCCCTCCACTTGCGTTACTTTTAATGGTCACCATTCCATGCATACAGCTGTACCAGGAGGCAAACAAACAGAAGCATATGTATGTATGCATCCATATATACGCATTTATGCACGACTGTATATCGGCACATTGCATTTACATTTAAATTTGCTTGTGTGATATGGATCATATGGAAACCTACATCAGATGAGATATTTTTTATTAAATAATGTTATATCTGTAGTAAAATGAACAAAGTGTTTTCATATATATATCTTCTGGAAGACAAATGGGGGACAATCAACCCTATTGGCATGCAAAAGGCCGAAGAGATTCTAAAGGCATGCATTTCGCTACAAGGAATTGGCTCAAGGCTGGATGCCAATGCACTTTCTTTTTGGGATTTGTTTTTCAGGTCGACCCCTCGCCGTTGGTTCTTCCAGTGCTTGACAGTACTATCAGTTTCCATATTTTTTCATTAAAAAAAACATTGGGAATATATATGCATATATATATATATATATATATATATATATATATATATATATATATATTTGTCCACGAAAAGATTATATTTGTAGTACAACACAAAGGAGCTAAAACCTAGAAGGAATAAAGAATAGAGAAAAGGACGTGACTCGTGATGCCTGGAATGTTTTAGTTAAATTGTGGTTCCGGTCCCTCTACTATGTTCCAATTTGAAATGAGAAGTGAAATGAAAACTGAAATGATATGTGGGTGTACATCATGTAGTATAATAATTAGTGTTAGGAACAAGTCACAAACCCTGTTTGTGGAGATTTGTCAGATTCCACGACATGCATGCAGGAGGAGGTACCCATTGTTTTATAGACGCTGTACTCGCATCAAAGCATAATCAATTAAAATCTACAGGGAAAAACATAGGTTGATGGTGTAGAATGTGCCTATTTTTTTCAAAAAATAATTCAGTGTTTTAATTATTTTACATTTAATTAGATTCTTATACCAAATTGTTGTTATTTAGGGGTTGTCTTTTTTTTAGCTATCGTTAATCTTTTTTTTCATCTTCGTGATCGACAATGACATTAATTTTGATGTGATCGTTAACTGTCGATATTCATTATTTTTTATTTTATTATAGTGATTTTTTTTAATAATTTTACCTTTACGACACATCTCTTTTTGTCTTTAAGACATGCTTTTTTTCCATTGACACATTTTTAGTTGTTTGACCGTCGTTTTCGTTTAATCTTTTTTTATGGTTGAATTTGACATTGTCACGACTGATCAAGATGAAGTTTATTTGTTATTATGCTGATCTTCCATGATTTAGACCGGTAGATTAGGTTTGGATACGTGCTTTGTATTTGTGGATAGTATTTTCAAGTCGCTCGATTCTAATTTACGATTTGTTGGTGGTCTTTCAATAGCTCCATCACTTTTTGTGATTTGTTTGCCGATGCGATCAAATTTGTTAGTATCTACCTTTTGTTCGAATTTATTTGGTTAAATTTTTTAACATTTTACTTATATAACCCTTATGTTATCTTAAGTAACTAGTTTTCTTGTGTTTAGGAAAATATTTTTATTATATATTTAGTTTAAGATTGTGGTTGTAAACACTCGTTATAATTTAAATATTTTTTATTTTTAATAAAATTAGTGGCTCCTATTAAAAATGCTTATACTAATAAACTAAACCAATTAAAATCTCATATTAATAAATTATGTAAATTAAATCTTTAAATTATTTTTAACCATTAAATCTTATTGATTTCAAATTATCTGTCATAAAATACACTCTGATACTGATATTGTTACATGATATTTCTAAATTTTTAAAATAAAAATTAGAAAAATCTTAAAAATGTCTCATGGCATCACCTTGATGTGACATTTGATCAAAAAATTATTAAAGTAATTGATTTTATCTAAAAAATCATTTTAATTTTTAAAATTTAAAAATTTAATTAGATAAAAAATATTTTTTCCATAATATTTTTTGAACCTAGCCAAAAACATGTATTGGGTTCATAACTTTTTCCTCACTTTCAGATATATCTTGGAGTGGAGTGAGTTGAAAATTTTAAATTTTCATATAATATAATTATTTTTTAATATTTTTATCAATAATTTATATTTATCTTTTAAAATTTTATAAATTATCTCTCTAATAACCTTCTAACCTAAAAACCTATGTCCCTCCCTGATTTTGAACGATTACATGATTTACATCTAATCCAGATAGAAATTGCCATTTGTTTCCAGGTTCAAGAAACCTCATACTCATCACTATTAGAAAGCTCCCAGCAGGTATTTGTTTGCTACCCATACTAGAGAGTAGAGAACACCTGTTTTACTTAACATATCCACTTAATGAAGCCAATGGATTATCACATGCATCAACTCTATCCCTGCAACGATATAGGGTCATCCACTTCTTTTTTAAGCTTTAAAAATGAGCTTTATTATTGATGTAAATCCAAACTCAAGAACCCTACATTTGGTATACATATATAGGTATGCGTGTCTCTGTATGTAGAATCAATTAATATTTGAGTAAACAAGTGAAAGAAAGCAGAGAGTGCTTGCTGGATACTGGATAGACTGCATTTGGTGTCAAAGAAGAAAACAACAATTCATAGAAGAAGAGCAGTTTCCGCTATAAGAATCCACATAATGTTTTATTTCTCATTCACAAGCTATTAACAACTGATATAACAATCGAGGAACAATTGGCTGTCTCACGAGACAATAAAGACAGAAAGAAAGAAAGAAAGATGATTGGGAAGGAAACTAGCTAGAGGAAAAAAGTGTTGGACATGAGCGCAGTGAGAGGCATGGCGGCAGCCTTCGTTGTTTTTTCAGCCTGCTTGTTGATGATGAATGGCCTCGGAGACGCGCGTTGCATGGAAATTAGCGATGAAAGCCGAAGCTTTCTTGTCGATACCAGGCTCCGCAACCACACGGAGAGTGTTGTCTTCGTCGCTCGGATACACTTTCCTGGTGCTCCAAACGTCTTCACCTCCATAATAATAGTCTTGATCTCTACGGCCCTTCTTTGCTTTGAAGAAACTGAAGAAGGAGAAGGACTTCTTGTGCTTGTTCCCAGCCATAGCTATCTGTTTTTTGCAATCTATACACTGCGTTTTAGGAGGGATGAGGTTTGCAGTGCAGTCTGTCAGAGTTTGGGTCTGAGGGTGTCCTTTTATAGGGGGTACCCAAGGGGTAGGACGTGGACACGTGTGGGGTTAGATGACATGGGGATGTGGAGTTAAGACTTCAAAATACATCCCATGTGTTGTGGTCCGTTGCTTGGTTTATTTGACTCAAAAAAAGCATATTTCTTGGGTCTTTGCCTGTGTTTGTTCCATAGCATGCCATTTTCCATTGCTGAGAATTAAAATGATTGGCAACTTGGCATACTGTGTGTAGATGTAGCTTTACCTGTACCTGTAGCCTGGAGAAGAATTCACCTTAGCTTACCTTCCAATCCACTGGTTTTGTCTATAGTGTAATAATAAGAGAAAATAATCTCAGTTATTGAAAATGTCTTATAATATACGATTTTGATTATTTTTTTTATTTACCAAAATAACCAACAAAATCGCAATACGATCTCCAGTATCGCAAATCAGTTTCCAGATTCGCAACGCGATTTTGACTATCGCAACGCGATTTTCCAAATTAAATCGCAATGTGATTCTGATTATCGCAATGCGATTTTCCAAATTTACGTTAGTCCAAATTCGTTGCGATAGTCCAAGTTCGTTGCGATTTTCCAAAATCGCAACGACCGGTGGTATTACATTTGTTTCTTAAGAATTTTCTCTAAAAAGATAGTATCCGCGCGGATGTGTCGAAAACACGTATTACCACGACCACGACCCGGGACGGCGGCGGCGGCGGTGTGCGAGAATCTCCTTGTTCTTTTCCACTCAACAAGGAAGTGAGAAATCCAAACCTTAAATACCCATTCCCAATAGTGTTTCCAATACTATGTGGGATTGAACATTACAAACACTTCGGAATCTTTTACACTATCTCAACACTTATTGTTTCAAACTAAGATCTTACAAATGGCTTGGGAATCTTTTACACTATCGCAACACATTCTTTATTATTTCAAACTACACGTGAATTTGGAATAGTTAAAATGTAAACTTATTTCGCAATACATTTTTTAAAATCGCTTTGCGAATCTTACAATCGCGTTGTGAATCTGGATATTCGCGTTGCGAATTTGGAAACTGAGTTGAAAAATTAGAGTTCGCGTTGCGATTTTGTTGGTCATTTTGACAAATTCAAAAAAAATTGGTTAAAATCATATATTATAAGATATTTTCGGTCACTGAAGTTATTTTCACTAATAATAACTGATACCACAAAGCATCTTCTCAACTTATTGGTGGGCTTATAAAATTGTACTTGCAATTTTGATTGGTGGTTTTAAATCAGTTGATTTTTTATTAATCAAATTTAAATTTTATTTTTTAGTTATTATGATTTAATTTATTTTAAATTAGATTTTAAGATTTAAGTTTATAAGTTTTAATTATAAAAAATTAAAATTATTAATTTTATAAAATTTTAAAATATCTAAAATAACTAAATTTTATATGTCACCGTCAAATCAATCACCACTGCTCATCTTTTATGTTGTTGGACTCCCACCAATCATTCATTTCCCTTGCAGTCACACATCGATCGTTGCTTGAAATAAAATAATTGCATCACTTAATCGATAATTTCGTCACACGTGATCATTATTTTTTCACTCAACCATCGCATATTCATCATCGTCGATAAGGCTACACTGCCATAATATTATAAAATTTATTTGGGCACTTTTTTTTTCTTTTTTGAAAATTATAAATTTAAGGTTTTCTTAGAAATCTTATATTTAATTTTTTTAATTTTTAGAAAATTAGTATTAATAAAATATTAATGCTGTCTTAAATAATTATTAGTTGATAGTTTTTTAAATTTTCGTTTATGAGATATTTTTAAATTAATAACGGAATGAAACTTTAAACACCTTAATTAGTAATAAAATAAACATTATACACTTAAAATAAACAAGAGAAATAGTTTTTACACTTATTTTTCAATTAAGTTTAAAAATAATATATTTTAATTATTTTTTAAAATAAAATTTAAAAATTTTAACTTTTAGAATTAAATAAAGATAAAACTAAATTTTATTTGATCGGGTTAGATTTTGAGTTCATATCAAAATTGATTGAATCTGAGTCGTGTTTGGGCCTAATACACAGAGATTGGACCGAATCGTTATCAAGTAGAGCAGAGCCCAACTGACATAGGCTAATGCTGTTTAAGCTCATTTTGCTATCAACTAAGAAATCAAATCGAGTACTTGCTTTACACATTCGTCAATATCCCACCGAGGTGAATGTCAAGCTGAAGGCGCATAGCGGAAGAAGAGAAAGATCTCCTCTCACCACCGCCAGTTGCTGCCTTCCACGTCCGTTGCTCTCTCTTTATCTGTTCCGGTATTACCTTTTCCTTTTCTCGTGTAATTATTGTTTTTGTTTGATATATATAATCCCTACCTTTTTCCTATTCACTAAGCTACGTATGTTCTTGCTATACACATTTATATTGGCGGGAGCCGGGAAGGCTGTGCGATTTGGTTCAATCTTCTTTCCCATGGTCTTTTGGTTGCTTATGGTTCTTAAAGTTTTTTTTGTCTGTTTGATGACGATTCTTGCTTTGAGAGGGTTCTGTCAGCTTGGAAATCGAATCTAGTTAAACAAAAACCCTAATTCCAGAATGGGTCTTCGACTTGCTCAATTAATCGCGTCCAAATGCTTATTGGCACCCTCAAACCTGTTTTTCTGCTCTCTTTGATCGCTAAATAAAATGTTTGCTGGAACTTGCATATTTTGTTATTATTTCCTCTCGTATATCTTCCACTTTTGACATGATTGATTAACTTACTAGCCTTTTTTTTTATTAATCTCAATCTCTTTAATCACTGTTCTACTTTTGCTAGTTTAAGACGTGATTATAATTGAGAAATCAACTGACTCGTCTAACCCCTTTCCTTGATAAACCAATTCAGAGTATTCTTACAATAATTCTTTTCTTGTAAAGATGCAATCGCTTTTTTGACTGATTTGCTCACTTTGTGGTCAAGCTTTATGATTGTTGATGTATTGAGCTCTATCATCTGTACTTTCTGGCATAGGCATACGAAGAGTCACTTATTGAGGATTTGGCTGAAGATTTTCGCTTGCCAATTAATCACAAGCCAACAGAGAATGTTCATCTGGATAATGTGCAACAAGCTACAGTGGATACAAGGTTGAATTCTTCAAATGTTGGGTTTAGACTTCTTCAAAAAATGGGTTGGAAAGGAAAAGGTCTTGGGAAGGATGAACAGGGTACGTTACTGCATTTTCGTTCTGCATTATGGGTCACTTTTTATTTGGCTTCTAACTAGTAGGAATATATTCCGGGATAAATAATGTGAAACTGGAATTTAGCAAGAACTTACTGTAATTGAACCTATGAATTACTCTACGAGTAATTCTTTAATGATGCTCAGATTTATTTTTCAAATACTGGACTTGATGTTCTCCAGTAGTTCTTGTTAGGTTGTGACATGATTTTATTGACTCATTTGTTTGCCCTTTTCATTTATGGTTACTTGAAATCCTGACTTGCCGTTCATTCCATGCTCAAAGTTATTTGTTTATCATTAACAATTATTTTCTGGTTCACAGGAATAACCGAGCCTATAAGATCTGGGATTAGAGATCCAAAATTAGGGATTGGAAAACAAGAAGAAGATGATTTCTTCACTGCTGAAGAAAATATCCAGCGTAGGAAACTTGATATTGAGGTTGAGGAGACCGAGGAACATGCAAAGAAGAGAGAGGTATGATTTCTAACTCGTAGATGACCACTTTAAGTTTCAGTTGGTAGATAATAATGAGGTTGATGCTTTACTTTTTGTGAAAAAACTCCATTAGCAGAAGGCAGCATATAGCATATATGTATGTCTTTTGATCGGAATGGTATATCATAGGGGAACATCAACCTCGGAAGCTCTTGTCAATTACATGCAGTTTTTATTACCTGGTGGCTTCTACTGCCTGCTTCGTGCACATTATGAAAATCCAGGTGTTAGCAGAACGTGAGCAGAAGATTCAAACGGAGGTGAAAGAAATACGCAAGGTGTTTTATTGTGAGCTTTGCAACAAGCAATACAAATTGGCTATGGAATTTGAGGCCCATCTGAGTTCATATGATCACAACCACAGAAAGGTAAATTGCCCAATCCTCTTTATCAAATCCACCCATATACACACCAGCACTGCCTCTTTTTCAACATCTTTTGATCTTTAGGTTGTTTTCAATGTTGTCTAATCTGCAACACCATTTGTTATTGCTTGCAGCGCTTTAAAGAAATGCGAGAAATGCACGGAAGTAGCAGTCGTGATGATAGACAAAAGCGGGAGCTGCAACGTCAAGAAAGAGAGATGGCTAAGTTTGCTCAAATGTATCTAATTAATTAAGGTTTTGTATCTCCATGGTTTTTGAAATACATTTGCTAACCATTTCATGTCATTTTCTTTTGTATTCTTTAATGTGGTATAGGGCTGGTTCTCGTAAACAGCAGCAGCACCAGGAGTTACAGGAGGAATCTGGGCCTGCCACTGCTCCTGCTGCTGCCACTGCGACCGCACTTGCTGATCAGGATCAGCGAAAGACGTTGAAGTTTGGTTTTTCTTCTAAAAGCAGCAGTTCTAAGGTATGTAATTCTAGAGTAACAGTTTATGTGTGCTCGAGAGGTACTGATGTAAAGGTTAGCAATAGCCTGCTTATTTGATTATTATACATCCATGAGTATGCACATAAGAAGTTAAGAACATATATTTTCTTGGGTGCCAGGTTTTATTGTTGAATACTGAAGACAATTCTGACTTGATATAAATTCAGAATATCCATGTGATTTGTAGGAAAAGAATCTGGCTATCTGAAATTAAATTTTCTGTCCTACTTTAATGACTTGTTGAATTGCTTTCTCCAAACCTTGTCTCTCTGTTCGTGTTGCCCAAGAGTTTTTTTCGTTAATCGTCTCTTTCTGTCCATTAGCTTTAGAATCTATTTTCAGTTCCACCGCTTCTTTGAACTTGTGCGATACAGTGCGAGTGGATTGTCCTCAGTCACATTGATAAGGTGGCATTACTTTATACCTCTCACACCAACATCTCACCCATCAACTCCAACTGTGTTTAGTACATATATACATACGGCATTGAATCCTTAATCTGTTGCCAATTTTAAAGTTTAACTCGAGTTTGCCTATGAATATGCTTGTGATCTTGTTTAACTTCGTTTGTTCCCTTGTTTTGTAGAATGCATCGAGTAGTGCAGCGAAGAAACCAAAAGTAGCTGTTGCTTCCGTTTTCGGGAAAGACTGTGATGATGAATAGAAAAACTTAGAATTTTTATCTCCTTGGGGATGTTTGTGTTAAGTAATTGCTTGCATAATCTTTAAAAGAATGTTTTGACAGTGATGGCCAAAATGCGACATTTTAATGTATTTGATGTTGTCTATTAGACATTTACGTGAAGTATGTACGAGTTGTGGAACAAAAGACAAATTATCAGTTATAAGAAATAAATATTTGTGTTAAAAAAGAAATTGGTTAACTGATATAGGATGAACATAACACTATTATATTGGAGCTACAATCATCGAACAAGCATTCACAACTGTAAACCTACAGGCATGGTATTACTGCTGTAAAAATTATGCAATATAAAAATGAAATTATAAATACAAGTAACAGACTTGTCTAATTATCATCGGAATTAATTACTATAAAATATAAATGGATTGATGATTAAAACACATTTGAATTTTTAATCACAATAAATTGAAATTATACAAAATTTTCATCTAACAAATGGGTTGGATAAGTTATTATTATTTGTTAAATTAATTTAAAACCTAAATTTATATAATTTTGAAGAAAAAAATCAGCTCAAATTGTTTAGGTCAGTTAGAGGCATGAATTTTTTTAACTGGGGATAAAATTTACTATTTATATAGTCGAAATTTTCGGGAAATACAAAATTTAAATATATTATCTAAATATGAATTTTGGTACCAAACTTTTGTACTGGTATAAACTACACTTGAAGTTTTAATATCTTTTGAATCTGTAATATATAATAATTTTTAATGAAATATTATTAAAATTCTAAGTATAGATTATCAAAACTGAATATGTATAATTTAAAAAATATGAGCAAACTACGCGGTTAGTACCTAAATTTCACATTTGATCCGATTTAGTACTTGAGCTTCCAATTATTTTAAAATCATATCTAACATTTAATTTTTGTTTCAATTTAAAATTTCACCATTAAAAACTTGATAACAGAGCTGACACGATATTTTTTTAATTAAATTTTAATCAACTTTATTCAACTAATAAGATAGTGACACGTGCCCAAAGGAATAAAACAAGACTCGAAACCGGAGATGGGGGAAGATAGCCGCTCAACCATCGGCGCTGGAGAAGAACATTGGTTTCAAAATGACGAAGTGTATATTTAACTTATACTTATCTGTCTATAAAATGAACGAAAATTGTTAGATATTCGATTCGAACTTAGGACATCTCTCAAAATATTCAATCGTGTAATCATTAAATCAGATTAAGAATTAATTTAATGCATACCAAAATTATTGTTTAACTTATTTTAATTTAAAATTAAATAATATTTATTTTAATTTAATATAATTAAATAATTATTTATATATTTTATAAAATAAATATTAGTTTATTTTAAAAACTATATGGATTATTAAGTAGTTTAAAATTATATGTATTTAATTATTTAAAATTTAAAAATACAATTTAAAATTATTTCTATTTGTTTAATTATTAAAATTTAAATATAAACTTCTATTTATAATCATTTATGAAAATAAATATAAATAATTATTTAAACAATTTTAAGGATAAAATATAAATTTTAACTAAATGTTTTTTTATAATTATTTAATCAAATAAATAAATATAAATAATAATTTTAAATATTTATTTAATTATTTTCTTATTTCTAAATGATAAATTATTTAATGTTAATTTAAATTTTTTATAAGTTAAATAATAATTTTGGCATTTTATAGTGATATTTTAATATATGTTAAATATATACTTTGGCATTTAAAACAATGGTCTTCTGTGGCGTAGATGGTTGAGCGCTTCCCTTACCCTTCCAATAAACACATATTCAAAACTTGTAAAGCCCTCCTCTGGAGGTTTTTTTTTGTTGGTTTTGTTCAAAAAAGGTATGTCACCACTTTATCAGTTGATTAAAACTAATAATATAAATAATAATTAAAAAATACTACGTCAGCTCTGCTTTAAGTTTTTAACGATAATGTACTAAATTAAAACAAAAACTAAACGTTAGATATGATTTTAAAATAATTAGAAGTTTAGGTATTAACTCGTATCAAACGTGAAAGTTTAGGTACAAACCGCATAGTTTACCCTTATTAGTATTTAATTATGTGGAGAAAATTTAAGTACTTAATTGTAATAAAAAGGCTTAAATATATAAAAGGTGTCCAACGTATGCCCATTTTTTCAATTCAGTGCCTAAAGTTTTTTTCGTTCTAGTTTGGTGCCTAATGTTTCATTCCGTAACTCAAAATAGGTCACGTCGTGACAGACCGTTAAGTTTGACCGTTAACTCATTAAAAATGTCACGTGGCATATTTTTTAATATTAAAAATGATTTCTGAAAATAAAAATTAATTAAAATAAAAATTAAACCTTATTAACTTTTTACCCATTAACCCTAAATCATTTTCCCCTTTTCCACTTCACTCTCTTCCCATTCCTTTTAGATAATATGAAAATTTGCAATGAACCCTAATAATTTCTGTTTATTATTGCAATTGAGGAATACGAAATTTGTTACTACTTAAAGCGAACCAAAAAGTCAATTCCTTTTTTGTTTCTCAATCAAACCCATTTGAGTTAAGGAAGGAGAATCGTCGAAGAAGTGAAAGTGTTGGTCAAGGTCAAGTTCAAAGGTAAGTCTGAAAAAGAAGTTTATGCGTGATTTTGATTTTAATGGTAAGTATTTGCAATGAAAACCCATTTTTTGCTTTGCAAAAATTGGTGTTACTAGTTTGAGTTCTAATTGAAGGACAAAGCTTTGAAGAAACACAAAGGGCATGTAACATCCCAAAAACCGGGCTAGTGATTAAAACATAAATTTTTGAAACTTTATGACCAATTTCAGAAAATTCAAAAGTTCAAGGACTTAATTAAAGTATCTTGGAGTTGGATTTAATAGCAAAGTTGGAAAGTAGAAAGGGTATAATGGTCATTTGATAAGAATATAATTAAAAATTATATTGAGGGAGATATATATACACGTAGGGATTGAGGAGGAAAAGGGAAAGAAAAATCTGGAGAGTTTTGGGGTTCAACTATATTCTTCTTATTCTCTTCCCGTGACTCCATGAGCAAGGTAAGTTGGTTTCAAATTGATTATTCATTTCATTTTAAAGCTGATTTTGATTCTTGGAATGATAAGAAAGCTTAAGGAAACCTTAAGGTGACTTAAAACTCAAAGATGAATAAGTTATGAAAGATTGAAGGTAAAGAGTTTTTAAGTAAATTATTGAGAAAGAGTTAGTAAATAAGTTTTGAAGTGAAATTTGACTTGTCATAAGCTGGAATAAGAAATATAAAGTGTTAGAAAGGGATTTAGAACATATTGAATATTTGGTATAATTCTTGAGTTTAAGTATTAAGGTGAGATGTTGAATATTATGATGTGTTCAAGTGATATAAGATGATTTAAGTGAGTATAGTTGAATTTGAAGTAATGAAAGGATTTCAAAGTATGAAGTTTATGTAAGTTTAGTTAATTTCCGGGTTAAAATAAGAAATTATAGGTAAGGGGTATCGGTATTGTTCATTCAGTACTGATATTTCAAAGAGAAAATGAATGATATTTGGGTATGGGTATTGATACTGAATGAACAATATCGATACCATAAGCCAAAAGTTGATAAACTATTTAAGGAGTATCGATACCGAAGGAGTAGTATCGATACCATTTAGCAAGTATTGATACCATTTTGAAGATGAATTCCAGAATCGAAATTGGATATCGATACTGAGGTATAATATCGATACCATAGGGTAGAAGTATGGTATTGTACCTTGGGTACTGATACTACTCATATGGAAATTGTAAATTAAGTACTTTGTATAGATTATGTTATGTACGATTGATTAAGAGTGACTCGAATTAAGACATTCATATCGACTATATGTATCGGGTAGATATCGAACGAAAGCAAGTGTCGGATGAGTCAACGAGATAAGATCGATCAAGAAAGAGATAAGTGTATTGCTTGGACTAGTGAGGCTAAGGTGAGTGCATATAATTATAGTATATGAATATATGGAAATTAGACTTGCGATGAGTCTATTTCCATGTTCTGATTTTATGAATGCATGAAAATAAGTATAGTTGGTAGTTAGTATGTGAATATGTATTGTTATGTTCTTTGCTATGTGATATGATTTATGTGATGATGTGACTCTGTGATATAAGTTATACGATCATGAACTATGTAAATAACAAGAGAAAGTGATATAAAATATGTGATATAGTTATAAATGATTATATGAACATGTAATATAAGTTATGTGATGAGGATCTATGTGTTTATCTGTCTATGAGAAGATATAAAAATAATATGTAAGCCATGTGATATAAACTACGTAGCTATGTGTTATCGACATAAGTGAATTATGTTAACATGTGACAGGTGAATATGAATCCTATGAGATGTCTAAGTTTAAGTGAAATATATGACATATGTTATATTGTGTGATAATGATCTAGGTGAATATATGACAACCAGGTATAAGTTATATGAATCAGATCTATGTTAATTGATATAATTGACTTATGTAATTAAATGAAGAGTGAGATAAGTTAAGTAGCATTGACATAGATGATAGTATGAGAATAGGATATAAGCTATGAGACACTGACATAAGTGATTATATAAACATGAAAGATGAGTTGCATGGTAAATATATATATGAAACCATATGAGAATAAATGTTTAGGTGACAAACTATGTGAACCTGAACTAAGTGAATATATGAAACTATTATAAAATTTATTTGATATAGGTGATTATGTAAAACTGTGAGATAAGTTATATTGTATTGATATACAGACTATATTAAAATGTATATATGAGTACCTGCTTAAGTTATATGGGTTGATATATGAACATAAGAGAATAAATGATAAGTTATATGATGCAAGCTATGTGATTACATGTATATATTAATATATCTTGCTTGCATTACATGTTATGTGATATGAACATATATGATATGTGTTATATGACAATTATTTATGAGACCATACAAGGATGTTACATGAGCTACGTGATAATAAGATATAAGATTACATGCTTAAGTTATATGGGTTGATATATGAACATAAGAGAATAAATGATAAGTTATATGATGCAAGCTATGTGATTACATGTATATATTAATATATCTTGCTTGCATTACATGTTATGTGATATGAACATATATGATATGTGTTATATGACAATTATTTATGAGACCATACAAGGATGTTACATGAGCTACGTGATAATAAGATATAAGATTACATGCTTGTACGATATAAGTTATGTGAATTGTGATAAATGGTAAAGCCCATGTTACGTGATACGAGAACTAGGGGTATAATTGACATACCAAGAGTCGAGGGATATATGCGGTCCTTCGGGACATATATGTGGTCTTTCGGGACATCTATGCGGTCATTCGAGACATATATGTGGTCCTTCGAGACATTTTTACGTGGTCATTCAAAACATTTTATATGACACTCAGTGAAATTTATACGAGCTGTGGTGACAACATTTGTGCACAACCTCAATGCACTCACATATCTTTAGTTCTCAAAAGTGTACCATGGACTATTAAATAAAGATAACATAAATAATTATATGTGATGTGGTATGTTTTATTTTGTGAAATGTATGATATGACACTCACAAATGTTAAGTACAAGATTATATGATTAAAGGAATAAATGGTAATATATGATGATATACATATACATATGCATTTTGTTATGTGAAATGCTCTATGGTTTTGTGTAACATCATTGTATGAAATGTTCATGCATTGTTAAGTACTTAAATTTCTATTATACGTTTATAAACCTCACTAAGTCTGTGACTTAGCGTGTGAGTGTTTCACACGTAGGTTTTGAGAAGCAAGGTTAAGCAAGTCAGGTCAACTCTTCATTTTTGAAGATTAGATCGAAAAGACTTGAATCGTATATATTTTATAATATTGATTTTAGTTGGCATGTAAATAAAGATTTGCTTTAGATATGCTTTGATCGGTTTTGTAAACTCTTTAGTTAAATTTATGTAAATAATGTTGTTTTATTTAATATAAGTTGAAATTTTTACGATTTTGTACAAGTATATGATTTGAAAGGTTAATGTGACATCTCATACTCGTGTCCGGTCAGATACGGGTTGGGGGTGTTACAGAGTACCCAAAGAAAAAGAAAATAAGAAGCTATGGAAGGTAAAGCTACTTGATCTCGAATCAAAATTTGGAGAATTTTTTACATTTGTGTTAATTAACGTTTTCCTTTGTGAGTTCACTGTAATATGTAAACAAACTTGCATGTATGGAGAAATGTTTGGGCAAAAAACCTAACAGTTTTTGTAAATTTGCTTTTTAGCCCCTGGTGGGTTGTTGTTTGGTTGTTGGAAAAATGAAGAAATGTAAAATTCTAACCATGATTTTTGTTTGCAGCAAAAGGGTTATGATTTTCTTCTTAAATTGTAGTTTTGTTTGCTTTAGAGTAATTTTGTTTTTAAGCTGGAAATATTCGTCGTATGGAGAAATGTTTGGGCAAAAAACCTAACAGTTTTTGTAAATTTGCTTTTTAGCCCCTGGTGGGTTGTTGTTTGGTTGTTGGAAAAATGAAGAAATGTAAAATTCTAACCATGATTTTTGTTTGCAGCAAAAGGGTTATGATTTTCTTCTTAAATTGTAGTTTTGTTTGCTTTAGAGTAATTTTGTTTTTAAGCTGGAAATATTTCGTCTTATACGGTCTTTTGCTTTAGAGTAATTTTGTTTTTAAGCTGGAAATATTTCGTCTTATACGGTCTTCGGAGTGAATCTCCTTCGTGGTTCGAGCTTTTCTCTTGCGAGTTGAATAAAAAATGGGTTTTCCATCGTTAGAACAACAACCATCTTCTTCAGCAAAAAATCTTCGGTTTCGTCGTCAATCATGAAGAACATTGCTATTATTCATTTTTCGAGAAAAAAAGAGTCGAGATAAAGAGAAAGAAAACATTTTTAGAAATTATTTTTTAATATTAAAAAAATGACAAGTGACATTTTTAATGGGTTAACGACCAAACTTAACTGTCCGTTACGACGTAACCCATTTTGAGTTACGAAATGAAATATTAGACACCAAACTAAAACGAAAAAAAACGTTAGGTATTGAACTGAAGAAAAAAAGCATACGTTGAACACTTTTTGTATATTTAAGCCTATTAAAAAAAGTCTGCGATCAAATTGCATTAAAAATGTTTGGGATCAAATTGTACGTCAATGCAAAAGTTAGATATCAGAAGTCATATTAACCCTATATATCTACGGTTTCAAATTGAGTAATCATTTACCAGGAAAAACTAAAACCCTAATTATTGGGGATTTTGGGAACCCTATTCCTCACAATTCAAGGTAAGCGTTTTCTAACATATTTCCAATATTTCCATATCTTCTTTTGTTAGGGTTTCTTCAGTTCATTCTTTAATTGCATGAAAATACATTTCCGCCTCTATAAAACAACAACAGAAAACAAAAGATTCCAGCTCTTTTGCCTCAATGCTAAACTTCAACTTACGATTTCTGGCCTCTGATTTTTTATTTTTTGCAATACTGTTACTGTTTCTTAAAGGCCTCATGTTCTGCTTGGTTATGGAGATAGCCTGAATTCGCAAAATTAGGGGGAAAACAAATTCATTGGTTTCTTTTTCAAATCCATATATGTGCATGCTCAATGTGGTAGGATTGGGATACAAGTCAACAAGTAAGCCGAATATATCACTAGAATTAATACAAATCACTTCTTTCCTTTTATTCCATTAAAAGAGAAAGAAAAAATCGTTTTTGTTCTACATTATACAAACTACCCTTCTTCGCCATTTTTCGGTCAGCATTTGATCACTGAACTCGACATGATTACCCCTTTTCCTATGACTTCATATCAAGCTTTATAATTATCATTAAAACCTTTTTGTTTTGTTTTTGCTTTACTTGATTGGTTTTATGGACCGTCCTAAGCATCTTTTGATTTCTTCAATTGAGTGGCAGGTCATGGTTACTAAAAAGCTTAGAGTAATTTGTCGATCTGGTGGTCAATTTGAGACTGAAAAGGATGGCTCATTGTCGTATAGAGGTGGGGATGCTCATGCAATATATGTTGATGATCAAACGAAGTTGGATGAATTCAAGATGGAAGTAGCAGAAATGTTTAATTGTAGCATTAGTACTATGTCTATCAGATACTTCCTCCCTGGAAATAGAAAGACTCTCATTACTGTCTCCATTGACAAGGATTTAGAGCGGATGATAAAATTTCATGTGGATTCTATAACTGCTGATGTGTTTATCATGATGGAAGAAACCTTTGCTCCTTCTGTTTCTAACATGCCAACCAGTAGGTAGTTTTCTTCATTTCTTAGCCAAAGCTTCATTGTAATTCTTGATTTATTACCATGATGCTGAGAGTGTGCTTTTTTTTCCCCCTTCCTTTTTACAGGTCAAGTAGAACAACTTTGTCTGAAGAAGTGCCTATGAGAAATACAATTACAGGTGCCGAGCAGTGGGAGAATACAATTACAGGGGTGGGGCAAAGATTCAGCAGTGTTCAGGAATTTCGTGAATCATTGCGTAAATATGCCATTGCACATCAGTTTGCATTTAAGTATAAAAAGAATGATAGCCATCGTGTGACTGTTAAATGCAAAGTAGAAGGTTGCCCTTGGAGAATTCATGCATCAAGGTTGTCCATCACTCAGCTGATATGTATCAAGAAGATGAATCCAACACATTCTTGTGGAGGGTCTGCCTTGACAGGTGGGCATCAATCAAGTAGGACCTGGGTAGCCAGTATAATTAAGGAGAAATTGAAAGATTTTCCAGATTACAAACCCAAGGACATTGTAAATGACATTAAACAAGAATATGGACTACAACTGAACTACTTTCAGGCATGGCGTGCCAAAGAAATTGCCATGGAGCAGCTTCAGGGTTCACATAAGGATGCATATAGTCAGTTACCATCTTTATGTGACAGAATAATGGAGACCAATCCTGGCAGTCTTGCTTTGTTCACCACTAAGGAAGACTCAAGTTTCCATCGCCTCTTTATTTCATTCCACGCGTCTTTGAGTGGTTTTGTACAAGGTTGCAGGCCTCTCCTTTTCCTTAATAGCATACCCTTGAAGTCAAAATATCAAGGAATATTGTTGACAGCGACCGCTGCAGACGGAGATGATGATGTATTTCCTGTTGCTTTTGCTGTTGTGGATGTAGAAACCAATGATAACTGGCGTTGGTTTTTGTTACAACTCAAATCAGCTGTGTCAACATCTTGTCCTCTAACATTTGTTGCAGACAGACAGAAGGGGTTGCAGGAGTCGGTCTCTGAAATTTTCAAGGATTCAAATCTTGGTTATTGTCTGCGCTACTTATCAGAGGAACTTGTTAGAGATTTGAAAGGGCAGTTTTTTAAGGAGGTTCAATGTATCATGATTGAACACCTTTATAGTGCAGCTTCTGCACCTAAACCTGAAGATTTTCATACGAGTGTAGAGAGCATCAAAAGCATTTCACTGGAAGCTTACGATTGGATCATGCGAAGTGAGCCCCATAATTGGGCAAATTCATTTTTCCAGGGTGCCAGATATAACTATATGACATCAAACTTTGGTGAACTCTTTTACAGCTGGGCATCAGATGCATATGAATTACCTATAAAACAGATGGTTGATGTCATGCGGGGAAATATTATGGAGTTAATATATACCCGGTGGGCTAATTCTGATCACTGGTTAACAAGGCTGACTCCATCCATGGAGGAAAAACTGGAAAAGGAGAGCTTGAAAGTCCATTCCTTTCAAGTACTCCTGACTACCGGTAGCATATTTGAGGTTCAAGGTGAGTCCACTGAAGTGGTTGACATTGATCGTTGGGATTGTAGCTGTAAAGGTTGGCAACTTACCGGTTTACCCTGCTGCCATGCTATTGCTGTTATCAGTTGCATTGGACAAAGCCCTTATGATTATTGCTCCAGATACTTTACAACTGAGAGCTACAGATTGACCTATGCGGAGTCTATCCAACCTATTCCTAATGTGGGCAGCCCTATTCAGAACGATTCTTCACAAGCTCTAGTAACTCCACCAACACGTCGTCCACCAGGTCGACCAACTAAAAAGAAAGTAGGACCACAGGTGGTAATGAAGCGCCAACTCCAGTGCAGTAGATGCAATGGTCTTGGGCATAACAGGGCCACCTGCAAAGAGCTCTTGTAAAGTTTCGTGTAAGTATTCACTCCTTTGTTATTTAAATCTTGCACCAGTTATCTCCGAATATGTCAATATAATTGCAATGCTCTATTCCATTCCATTTTTTTATCTCTGACTGGCTCACTGAGAAAGCCTATTTTTAATATCCAGCTTGTGTGTTCAGCATTTTTGCGTGAAACTCTGAGATGAGTGTCTGCCTTTGTATTACGCATTCTTAAATCTGTGCTGCATCTAAACCCACAAGTTTTTGTAGGCTTTCCATGTCCCAGTTTGCAGATATTCTGCAGTTTTCACTTTTCTGTATCTAGACAAGAGTTTCCTCTCTCTGATGCTTATAATTTTTTATTTGTTAGCAGAATTATGTGGGTGCGGGTAGCCATGGATTTTATTCTTTTATTTAAGGTGTGTTGCTGTCAGTATTGGACCAACTATTCATCTTATATGTTGTGTTTTACAGGGACCACCGGTAAGGATCAAGTGCACCACATACGTTACATCCTATAACTCTTTTGGAAGTGGTCGAAAGACATATTGGGAGCTATGGTGTTATATTAACAATGAGCGCAATGGCTGTTCTTCGATGTCAAATGTTCTGTATTAGGTGTTCTTGTATTCCAAGGTTATGATTGTTGTACGTGACACTAATCAGTAGGGAAACAATGGTCGGTTTAAATGTCATCATCAACTCAATCAAAATTTTCCAGTGTATAATGAGGAAGAGATTGATTGGTTTAAGCTTTTGAATTATGGATATGGTATATGATGCTTTGAATATTGTAACAGTAAAGTACAAGCATATACCATCGCAAATTAAGTAATAGAGTGGACATAAATTAATGTATTGAGTGTCGAATCCTGTAGAGATTAGTTATTACAATCAGAATTGTTGCAAGTAAAATATCAAAATGTGTAATGAAGTGTTGCAGTGAACAATGTCGAGACCAAGATAACTGTAGACAAATAGAATGAAAAAGGGGTTGCACCTTACGTAATTGGAGTAATGGATCTAATGGACAAAAGATAATGATATATCAACCTTCACATGTTTTTCAAATGCTATAGCAAATAGAGAAAATAACTTCAGTGACTAAAAATACCTTATAATATACGATTTTAACCAACTTTTTTTGGATTTGCCAAAATGACCAACTAAATCGCAATGCGATCGATAATTCACAACGCGATCTCCGGTATCGCAAATCAGTTTCCAGATTCGCAACGCGATTCTGACTATCGCATTGCGATTTTCCAAATTCGCGTTGCGATTTTCATTCGCAATGCGAATACGTAAATCGCAACGCGAATTTGGTAAATCGCAATGCGATTACGTATCGCAATGCGAATACGTAATCGCAATGCGAATACGTAAATCGCAATGCGATTTACATAGCGCCATTCATCCAACGCGTATTTTTTTCAAATTCCAACACGAATATATTAATATATGGAACACGAATCGTCACAATATATCCCGTAATCGCAACTCATAACCTAAAACCCTAAATCACAACTCAGTCTCATCTCCATCTCTCACTCTCTAAGGCGACATCCGTCCCATCTCCGACGAAATCAGTCCCCATCGCCGACGATATCAATCTCCATCTCCGGCGAAATCATTCACGGTCAGAAATGGAAAATCAACCAAATCAACCACCGAGGGTTAGTTTTTTTAATTATTTTTATTTTGAAAATTTTGCATTATTATTAGGTTTTTCATATTGAATTGATGATAAGTTTACTGTGTTTTCAATAATAATTAACCATTTCACTTAGATTGCTTATATTCATTCGATTGCTGCCAATATTGCTAAACTGTTTAGTCTTTAACCCTATGAAGTTATTTGTTTTGTTTGTTGTCTTTTGGTTGAAGTAATGCAATCCATTCAAGTTTCTTTCAATTTTAGTATTTGAAACCGAGAATGACTATCGCAATGCAATTCTGTCGTTGCGATTTTCATTTTCGTGTTGCGATTTAAAGTTTCAGAAACTATTCTTCTTCTGCAAATTGAAACTTGAATGAATTGCATTACTTCAACCAGAAAACAAATACTAAATTCACAGTGTTGTAAATTTAAGTTTGAAGAATAAACTACTACTCTTTATGTTTATTGTTCATATCTTCACAGTGTAGTTTTTGGTATATCTAAATTGATATGTTATTGTTTTTGCAGAACTTTATTCGGCTCAATTGACCTTAAGAAATAAAGTAAGCTTGACCAAAACAATTACATCGAAGCTTTCACCTGCACAAAGAAAAATATTTGAGGATACTTGCTTCGGGCCATGGCTGAAAGTACAACATCCGGGTGGAGATTCTATGTTGACCCATCTGTTTCTTCAAACCATGACTAGCGATCTACCAGAGACTATACAACGTCGTGATGAAGAGATATGGTTTGATTTTCCACCGGCGTATACGTGTTTGGGCGGGAGGAGTTTTGCTTAATCACCAGTCTACGCTTCGGACAAGATTATGTAGATCGGTACACTAGACATATTACCCGCCTATCATGGTTTTCCCGGGTTTTTCCTGAGCTGTCAACGGAGAAGTCGAATTTACAAGTGGAAGACTTGACGAGATTATTGAATAAGAAAGATGGTTTTACTCGGATGGATGACGTCGATGTTGTCCGAGTATACCTTCTAATACTTTTGCAAGCCGGCTTTTTAGGCAAAGAGGCCCGACAACCTATTCCTAATGATCTAATTAAATTGGTAGAGGACCTAAATGCATGGAACCTGTTTCGCGGGGTTCGTATCTATGGAGAGCTACATGGAATAAGTTGTCATCTGCCTTTAATGATCGGAAAAGTTTACGTGGCGATGGTTCCAAATACACTTTGTCAGGCTTTATTTGGGCCTTTAAGGTAATAATTTTTATATAATGTTTCCAAAATTATAATTATTTCTTTAACAATTACTAATGTTTGTTATTATATTGTTTGTAGATTTGGATATTTGAGGCCTTTCCCGCCATGCAGACATATGCATTAAAAACTTCTAATGATATTCCTAGGGCTATTTCCTGGAAGAGGAAACGGTCCTTGCAGCAATGGGAAGATTTACTACCGTATACTACAATAAATAATGTAAGTTAACACAAATACTACTATATCTTTATAAAAAGTTATTACTAGTACACGTTTAACTTTGTTTGAGCTTTTATATTGTTAGGAGGCCAACACTCCATTATAGAGGCTGACACCCACGGAAGCTGAGCTTGCCACTGATTGGTGGCAAGCTAGTAAGCTTTTTTTTATGGCACGGATGATGAGCAGCCACCACTTCGAGAGTCATCACCTCACCCAGAGCCATCACCTGATCGACCCGAATATACATCTCCACAACGAGAGTCATCACCTATTCTGTCACATCATCGAGCCTCTTCTCCACCATCACCTCATGATAGGCGACCGGCAAAGATGCCACGACGTTTATCTCCCTGTTCTCCACCTCCCTCCACGGGATGAGTTAGGGGAGTTACGTAATGAGGTCAATGCCTTGCGTGAAGAGGTCGGTACTTTACGCGATGACAATGGTGAATGGTGTGTTGAGGTGTCTACTTTACATGGTGAGGTAGTAGCTCTACGTGAGATTGTAGCATCGTTGCAGAATGAGGTAGCATCGTTGCAGAATGAGGTTCATACTCTACACAACAAGGTAAGTTTAATATTTTTCATATTTAACTTGATGATAAATTTACTCGTAATTTCACTTAGATTGCTTAGTAAATTCATTCGGTTGCTGCCAATACTGTTTAACTGTTTATTCTTTAACCCTGTGAAGATAGTATTTGTTTTTGGTTGTCTTTTAGTTGAAGTAATGCAATCCATTCAAGTTTCAATTTGCAGAAGAATAATAGTTTACTATCGCAATGCGAAAATGACTATCGCAACGAGAGAATCGCAATGCGAAATGAAAACCGCAACAACAAAATCGCAATGCGAAAATGACTATCGCAATGCGATAGTCATTTTCGCGTTGCGATTTTGATGTTGTGATTTCCATTTTGCATTGCGATTCTCTCATTACGATGGTCATTTTCGCGTTGCGATAGTCATTTTCGCGTTGCGATTTTAAGTTTCAGATTCTATTATTCTTCTGCAAATTGAAATTTGAATGAATTGCATTACTTCAACCAAAAGACAAATACTAACTTCACAGTGTTGAAAATTTAAGTTTCAAGAATAAACTACTACTCTTTATGTTGTCATTGAACTTGCACTAAACCTATATGTTGTCCTTTTAAATGTTTATATATGTGCTTACTTCTGGAATGTTATCTGATGCATTTTGTGAACAATGATATAATAATGACTTGGGTGAATACCGTGCAAGTTTGAAATATATTTGTCTTTTTTTCACTTTTAATATCATGTCTGTTTATTTACTGATTTATGTATTAATTTTTTTAGCGGCCCGCTAAGGCGGATGCTCTACGTCGGGTTTTTCTTGCAAGACGGAGTTCACGCATCAGACGGCGTGCACGTGCCATTACGTCTCTGTTCACCCCAATAGTGCGAAGAATCCGTAAGAAAAAGCCTGACTCACCTGTCATCGTTCAAGAGGCCTCCCCTATCGTTTAAGAGGCCCCTATCGTCCCTCAAGAGTCCCCTCCTACCGTTCAAGAGGCCACTGTCATCGTTGAAAGGTCCCTCCCAACATTCTAGAGCCCGATTCACACAGCGTAATATATCGAATTATTGAGAAGCCCCCTCACGTGCCGAACATGATGGATGACTGTTGGCTTTCGTATAAGTTACCGGCCAGTACCATTCCAGCAGATGAAGTGGAGAGGAAACAACTACCGGAAACAATTCTGGATAATACCTTTGGGTTAAGACCGCAGTTGATTTTTATCTACATGAGCGGAGCCAAGAGTATTACGCTGACATATACAAACTAAACGATGATATGCATTTGTTGATTAAACGGTCTTGGTGGGGTGTATTATTAGGGGTTGAAGACAACGGCTATTTCGATGGGGGGTAAGTCTTATATTTCTTCTTATATTTCAGTTTGATTAATTTTTTTTAAAATTTATGTAATTCACTAATATATGTCTTTTTTTGTAAAACAACATATTGATGCATAGGTGACACGTCTTCTAATTGTAAGGAAATTGAAGAAAAATATAAAAAAATGCGATATACAATTATGCCGACGTCTTTTCACGTAGTTCACTTGAAGAATCAACGACAGGAATCATATGTGTTGGCTAATGGACAAGCTAAACTTTATCCTGCATGGTGGGAGGTTGATAAGGTTAGTATATTTGTTTAAATATTTTTAAAGGTGTTCATAAATAAGTGCGCAATTTGAATTATTACATTTCGATGCATGTGTTTATCCCTGTTTTTGACCGTACTCATTGGCTTCTCGTCGAGCTTCAGTTCCCATCCCTAAAGACAATAGTATATGACATCATGATAAATTACATATCATTGTCTGATTTGAGAGATATTATTAAGGGACGAAGCTCTCATTTGGCTAAATTCTTGGATGCAATTAATTATTGGACTAAGTCTGGAAACAAGAAGCCAAAGAAGTTCAATGTTACAGTTATCAGAGACGAGACCGCGCCACAACAAATGAAGGAAGCCAGAGGGGATTGTGGT